GAGACTTGGAACAAATACTATTTGGAATCTTGTGTAATTACAAAATCTGCTGATAGTTCAACTTTGTGATTGGGAGAACTTGACATTAGCTGCAGGCTTCAAGCACTTACAAAGTTTAATCAAATTTTTTATTTCATTTTGGAACGCTGTTACAGAGGAAACCTAATTTGCCGGGGCAGTGGAAAATTAAATCTATTTCAGGTGTTTGCGTGTTGGGTTTTCCCCAAATATGGGCACAGGATTAAAGACAAAATTATAATGGTCCACCATAATTGCCCAGGAAGACTTGTGTAAATTAGTGTCCTCTGTAAAGAAATACAGGTATTTCTCGATTCACAACCATTTGTTTAATGATCAAAGTTACAATGGCACGGATAAGAGGGATATAGGACTGTTTTTCAGAGTTACGCCCATTGCAGCAATCCCATGGTCATGTGATCAAAATTCAGATGCTTGGCTAGCTGACTCATATTTATGATGGTCGCAGAGTCCTGGATCCATGCGGTTCCCTTTTGTGACCTTCTGACAAGCAAAGTCAACGGGGAAGCCAGATTCACTTAACAACCGTGTGGCTAACTTAACAACTGCAGTGATTCACTTAACAGTGGCAAGGAAGGTAAAATGGGGCAACATCTGTCTCGCTTAACATCAGAAATTTTGGGCTCTGCTGTGGTCGTAACTCAAGGATTACCTGTAAGAATTAGCTCCTCTCTCTTAGTAGCTAAGCCCTGGGAAGTTCAGAGCTATTGGTAAAACCCGGAAGTAAGAAAACATGTCGGAGAAAATCAGACACTTCCACAATGCTGGAAAACTCCACAGATGTCCTCACCAGGTGTCAAGCTCAACCCGAGGGCATCTTTACCCTTTACCTTGTGAAAAACCTGCAATATATTTAAGTCCTGGAAAATCACCACTTAGAATGTGGAAATTCTACAGCCGTGAGGAAATTTCCAGAAGTAGTAACAATTCTGGGAGAACCTGTTTATTGAAGCAGTAAAGGCATCAGGTTAGAAACTGGGAGACAGTTGAGTTCTAGTTAGGGATGAAAACTGGCTGGGTGACTTTGAGTTCTAGTCTCGTCTTAGGCACGAAAGCCAGTTGGGTAACTCTGAGTCAATCAATAGGAGATGGTGAATTTTAGTTCTGCTTTTAAGCACAAAAGCAGATTGGGTGACTTTGGGCCAATCACTAGGAGACAGTGAGTTCTAGTTCTGCTTTAGGCATGAAAGCCAGGTGGGGGACTTTGGGCCAATCAACAGGTGATTGTGAGTTCTAGTCCTGCCTTAGGCACAAAAAACAGGTAGATAATTTTGGGCCAATCAACAGGTGATTGTGAGTTCTAGTCCTGTCTGAGGCATGAAAGCCGGTTGGATAACTTTGAATCAATCACCAGGAGATGGGGAGTTATAATCCTGCCTTAGACACCCAGCCAGCCAGCTGACCTTAGGCCAGTCACTATCTCAAAGCCCCAGGAAGAAAACAGTAACAAACCACTTCTGAAAAATCTTGCCAAGAAAATTGCAAGTTTTTGAGGTAGTCGCCACGTGGGTCAAATCTGACTTGAAGGCTGAGAAATCAAAATAAAGGAAGTGTGGTTTGGATTCTTCCGAATTAAGTAGGAGTTGAATAATGGAGAATGAGAATTCTTACACCTGGATTGCAGTGTTTGCTTGAAGTCCTTCAACATGACACCACATGCAAGGGAAAAGAAAGAGATAGAGAGATAGAGACACAGAGAGAGAGAAAGAGGGAGGGAGGGAGAGAGAGAGAGAGAGAGAGAGAGAGAGAGGTGTGAAGCCTGGGCTGTCCATCAGTCCTCAGATGGAGAGTCAACAGCTCCCAGGTCTGGAGGTGGCTGATGAGGAAGAGGAGGAACAATTGGGCCCAGTATCTGACGTGTGGATGCACAGAAGGCAGAGGAGAGGAGAGCAGTGGAAATCTATGGGCCGGTCCTTGGGACAGAAGAGCCACCACTACTAGCAAAACCCCACCCTAACTCTGGGGATAAAAGGCTGGGAGCAGAGATGAATAGATGTGGCAGACAACTATTCATCTTCTGGCTGTCCAGACTCGTTAACCTGCAGTGAGAGAGAAACATTTTGCTGGGGCTGCCGGCGCTTCTAATTAAAGGAATCTTTGAGTTCACTTCAGAGGATTTGTTGTGTTTGGGGAACTGGGTGAGAACAATAGCCTGGCGGTGTCGCCATAGTGGAAAGCAGCAATTCCATTAAGTAGAAAAAGATTTCAAAAGTGGCCTTCTGAACTTCTTATCTGTGCAGGTAGCATAAGTTGAAGAGTTGCGGACTTCAACTCCCAGAATTCCCCAGCCAGCTAAATGAAAATCACCATCACCTTCACGGTTTGGTGGATATTTCGCCTATTGCTGCCAAAACTGAAGAACTCAAACAAGAACCTTTTTTGCAGCTCCTGTGGAAAGTTACCTGCTGAGGTACGAAGAGAAGTTGCCTTGATGGACAAGGAAGCCAACGTTTTGGAGATTGGACTGACATTTGGCAGAAATGGTGTAGGGCGGGGGGTTGGACTAGATGACCTACAAGGTCCCTTCCAACTCTGTTAATCTAATCTAATCTAATCTAATCTAATCTAATCTAATCTAATTTTGCCCTTCAAACAGATTGGCGAGAGTCTGGTCTTACACCTTAGTTTCCTCTGAAGATGATAAATAGCCATTTGTCTTTTAAAACCAGGCAGATAATAGAGAAATATCCTGCTCTGTGTTTATACAGGTAGTCCTCAATTTATGACAAGTGAGCCCAAAATTTATGTTGTTAAGTGTGAGGCATTTGTTAATGGAGTTTCGTCCCGTTCTACGACTTTTCTTGCTGCATTCGTTTACTGAATGGTTGTAGTTGTTAAATTAGCCACCCGGTTGTTAAGTAAATCTGGCTTTGCCCCTAGATTTTGCTTGTCGAAAGGTCGCAAAAACGGATTCCTGTGACCCCAGGATACTGCAATGGTCATAAATGTGAGTCAGTTGTCAAGCGAATGTAAATCACATGACCCTGGGGAAGAGGCAATGGTCATTAAGTGTGAAAAACGGTCATATGTTTTTTTTTCCAGTGCCATCGTAACTTTGAACAGTCACTAAACAAAGCGAGTCACGAACTATCTGTATTCTATACATGAGAAGGGATCAAACCCCAGCGGTTATCATGCCCTGCTCAGTTCAAGTCATTTTTATTTTTTAAAAAATATGGTTTTAATCTCTGAAAGAAGTCCGTTCTCTTGAGTTAAGGCTGTTCCCTCCCCGCAGTCCTCCGTTTCCAATGGGGAAACTGATGCAATGAAGTTAAAACAAGGCTGTTGTCATGAGAGAAATGAAAGTCTCTGAGGAAATTTTTGCATTTCTTCTGAGTAAAAACATTGCTAGACAGGCAATCCTCAACTTACGACCACAGTGGAGCTCAAAATTTTGCTGAGCGAGGCAGCTGTTAAGCAAGTTCTGCCCCATTTTACGACCTTTCTCGCTACCATTAAGCGAAACCGCTGCCGTTGTGAAGTTAAGTCACATGGTTGTTAAGTGAATCTGGCTTCCCCATGGACTCTGCAGATTAACAGGTCACAAAACGGGACCCTGGGATGTGTTATAAAGACACGCCTTCCAAATTTTTACCACATGACCATGGGAATGCTGCAAGTCACGTGAAAAACCATCATAAGCCACTTTTTTCAGTGCCGTTTTAACTTTGGTCACTAAATGAATTGTTGTAAGTCGGGGACTGTACTGTATGAATATATTTCTCTCTCTTCCCCAGAGTAGGAATGGATATTTTCATTCCAGCCTCAGACAAAACCTATAATGAGAAATACAATCAATTATTTCCTTGTCTTTCCTTGGCGTCTAAATCTTCGTTTTTCCACACGGATGTGGGAAAAAGTGACATTTGGACAGGATGAGCTCTCTGCTTCCAATCAAGAGTACAGACTATTTTGAATTCAAAAACAGGCTGTTCCAATCTTATCAGAAGTATTTCAAATGGTCTCCATCACCACTTATCATTGGAGATGGAAAAAAACCCTTAGCATGGAATGACCATTGTGCTTCAATGCTGTTCTTTCACTTCAATAGCACTAGCGATAGCACTTAGACTTATATACCGCTTCCCAGAGCTTTAACACCCTCTCTAGGCGGTTTACAGAGTCAGCCTATTGCCCTCATCAATCTGGATCCTCATTTTACCGACCTCAGAAGGATGGAAGGCTGAGTCAACCTTGAGGCCAGTTGAGATTTAACTTCTGGCAGTCGGCAGAGTCAGATTACAATACTCTATTCTAACCACTGTGCCACCACAGCTCCTTCCTTCCGTCCTCCCTCCTTCGCAATAGCATTTAGACAACAAATTTCTATGGAGCAAAGACCCCTACGCAATTCGCACATAAAAAAAATCCATCACATTCCTGTTTCTAGTTTTAGCAAATTCTAGGTTAGTCTTTTTAGTACAAAAAACCCCTAGGCCTCCTCCGGTTAGAACCATGCTTTGGATTAGCCCAGTAATGGCAAATCTTTGTGTTGTAGTGTGCCGAAAGCGCGTGCATGCTGGCACCCACAATGCAATGCGCTCTGCCCCCCCTGCGCATGCATGTGGAATACCCCCGACCTGCCATCTTAACTGCACTGCGCATGCATATGCCTCCCAGATGATTTTCAGCCAATTTGAGGCCATTATCGCCCTCCTGAAGGCTTGAGGGAAGCCTCTGTAGCCTCAGGAGGCCGAAAAACAGGCCTTCCGGACATACTGGAGGTGCCCGTTTTCAGCCTCTGGAGGTTCCTCAAGGGAATCCTCAGGAGGCTGAAAACAGGCCCATTTCAGCATTTCCGGTATGTCCAGAAGGCCCGTTTTTCGGCTTCCTGAGGCTGCAGAAGCTTCCCTTGAGCCTCCAGGAGAGCGAAAATGGCCTCAAACGGCCCGAAAATTAGCTGGGAGGTGCGCACATGCGCAGTGCAGGTACGTTTGGCTGGGCCACCACAAATGGCTCTGCGTGCCACCTGTGGCACACGTGCCACAGGTTCACCATCACGGGATTAGCTCATGGTGGGCGAAGTCAGCTCCAGGCTGTAAGCTTGCGACACAGCGCCAAACGTGTGAATCATTGATAGAAAACCGGCTCCAGGTCTATTTGTAGCGAATGAGCCGAATAATCTTATTATTCATGAAATCTGTCGTGTGCGGGTGAGTGGCGTCCACGCAAAACCCATCGCTCATGGCGATTTTCAGCACTTCCTCCACGAAGACCTGGAAACTGTTAATCTGCTTCTTGCTGGGAAGGACCCACAACCTCCTTAAGTTCTGCCTGGTGTATTCCTCTTCGGGTAGACCTTCCACGCTGGCTACCCAATCCAAGGTGACATGGTAGGGGTCTTCTAAATAAGTAGAAATGGAGGACAGGTTGCCATTGAAACAGTAGTAAAGTTTGGAGCCTAGGAGTTTGAGGAACAAACTGGAAGTGCTGAAGATATGGGCGCTGAACACTTCCATGTTAGAAGAGGACAAACTGTAGATTTGAGGAGCTTCCCGGACGGTGAAATGAACCGTTAGGGTCCTTTGGTCCAAAGTGATGTTGAGCATTGCGTTCTTCTCAGCTTTAGAGAGCTCCACTTCCTTCTCCAGGAGAGCCTCAATGAGGGGTTGGACCTGGTAAAAGTCTGCTTCTCGCCGAAGCAGGCCCATTTCTTGGAAGTCCTCGGGCAGGTCCAGGTGAGACGTTCTCAAGAAGTTGAGGATGTAGCGGAAAACTTTGCCGTCGCGGTCAATGAAGCAGTGGCCTTGGCTGTCTCTTTTGGTCGGCATCTTCCCACTAAACATGGCGCCCAGCATGGAGTCTGGGAAGCTGGTCAGAGTGGAGAGGGACGTGGTGTATAATTTCCCGCCAACGTTCAGCGTTATGGGCTCCGACATGGCTGGAAACGGAGCGGATCTGGGAGAAGGAAGGAAGGAAGCAAAGGGAAAGGAAAGGAGGAGGGAAAGAAGGAAAGCAAGCAAGGAAAAGAAAAAGAAAACAAAAGAAGGAAGGAAGGAAGGAAGGAAGAAGAAAAGAAAGAAAGAAAGAAAGAAAGAAAGAAAGAAAGAAAGAAAGAAAGAGAAAGAAAGAGGGAGGGAGGGAGGGAAGGAAGGAAAGCAAGCAAGCAAGAAAAAGAGGAAGAAGGAAGGAAAAAAAGAAAAGGAGGGAGGGAGAAAAGACAAGCAAGAAAGAAAAGAGAAGAGAAAGGAAGAAAGGAAGAGATGGAGGGACGGAGGAAAAGAAGGAAGGCAAACAAGAAAGAAAAAAGAAAAAGAAAGGAAAGGAGGAGGAGAGAGGGAGGAAAAGAAGGAAGGCAAGCAAGCAAGCAGGAAAGAAAAAGAGAGAAAGGAAATAAAGAAGGAGAGAGGGAGGGAAGAAAGGAAGGAAAGCAAGAAAAAGAAAGAAAAGAAAGAAAGAAGAAAGAAAAGGAAATAAAGAAAGAAAAGGAAATAAAGAAGGAGAGAGGGAGGGAGGGAAGAAAGGAAAGAAAGAAAAAGAGAAAAGAAAGAAAGAAGAAAGAAAAGGAAAGAAAGAACAAAAGAAAGAAAAAGTCCAAATTATATTAATTCAATTTGAAGGGAGAGAAACACCCTGAATGCATTCCAGGTAGTCCTTGACTTACGACAACATTGGGACTGGAAATTTCTGCTGTTAATGCAAAGTGGTTGTTAATTGAGTCATGTCAATTTGGACACGCCCCACAATCACATGTTCACAATTCAGGGGCGTGGCAACTTTCCCGAGTCACAAAATCGCTATTTGGGAATCCTCCCAGGTGGCTTCCCATAGCAAAGTCACTGGGAAGAGGGGAGCCACACTCGCTTAACAACGGTGTTCCTAACTTAACAACTGCAATTATTCACTTAACAACTGTGGCAAGGAAGGTTGTAAAATGGGACCAAAGTCACTAAACCTTTGCCCTGCCTAGCAACTGAAATTCTTGTCCCAATAATTATTATAAGTCATGTACTACTTGCAATCCATCTATATAAAAGCGAAATACCACTCGCGCATCATCACGAAATCTCCAGAACCGTAAAGCATACAAACTTGAAAATTGGCCCATAGGTTCCTCTTGGCTTCTAGGTGCTCACTAAGAAAGGATTTTTTGAAATGACCATCAGAGCATTTAGAGTACTTCCTATATTATTATTAACATGCTCTGATGCTAAGGAGTTCAACTCCCCCTCCCCACCTGAAAAGAAATCTCTTCCAAATGCAAAACACAAGCAGAGGAGAGGAGTTTCAGTTTTCGTTTCACAGCACCAAGCAGCTTTGTTACAGAACAGTTGAGCTAAGCCACGCCCAGGCTCCTTGCTGTCTCTTCCTTGCTCACACAGCAAATACTGTTTCAGTTTCCAAAGAGCCCTCAACTCTCTCACTCACTGACAGGACGCTAGCCAGATGAATACCGATGGCTTGCTGGCAGAATTTTTCTTTCCTCATTTTCCTCCCCCCAAAACTAAGCCCGACCACATAGTTTCGTAGCAAAGCACGGGTATCGAGCTAGTTAAGTATGTTCGTGAATTGCCACTTTGCAAATTCCACGCAGTTGTGCTGCTGCTCAAGACTCTTATACAGATAGTCCCCAATGTACGACAAGGTATGTTGCAAAGTGAGAAATTTGTCAAGTGAGTCTTGCCCCAATGTACGACCTCCCTGGCCATGTCTGTTTTAAGTGAATCCCTGCAGTTCTTGCATTAGGAAGACGGTTGTTAAATGAATCTCGTTTCCCTCTGGACTTTGCTTGTCAGAAGGTTGCAAAAGGGGACCCGACGGCCATCATAAATGTGAATCTGTTGTCAAGCATCCAAATTTAGGTCACATGACTGGGGGGGGGGGATGGAACGCTGCAATGGTTGTAAGTGTGAAAAACGGTTGTAAGCAGGAGTGGTATTCAGGAGGTTCTGACCGGTTCTAGAAAACCGGTACTGGAAATTTTGAGTAGCTCGGAGAACCAGCAAATGCCACCTCTGACTGGGCCCGCCCCCCTCTATACCCTGCCTCTTTGGTTGCCCTGCACGGGAGAACGGAGCTGCAAAGCAGGTTAGTGGGGTGTGGAGGGAATGGGGATTAGTATCCTTCCCCTGCCACACCCACCAAGCCACGCCCACAGAACTGGTAGTAAATATTTTTGAATCCCACCACTGATTGACCTTCCCAAACGGGAAACCCTAGATGACCAGCGAAGTCCAGACTCTGATCAGGGCCCATGAACCTGGCTTTCAGAGCAGGTGACATCTCACAGTACAGCACTGCCAGAGCTGAGCTGAGAAGGGGGAACCAAACATGCTAAGATGTATAGGAGGAAGGTGGAGGGCCACTTTACTGACAGTGACCCACGGCAGATGTGGAGGGGGATACAGGCCCTGGCCAACTATAAAGGCCAGAGCCCAACAAACAGCGAGAGCAGCAGCACTCAGGCAGAGGAGCTAAACATCCTTTTTTGCACACTTCGAGACCACCAAGAACCTGGACGTATTGTCTCACGAGGACCACGACGCTGCACCTGTTTCTCTTCAGGTGCATGAGGTGAGAAAAACACGGAGAGCATTAAATCCCAGGAAAGCTGCTGGGCCTGATGGCATTCCTGGTGCCGTAGTTAAAAGCGTGTGCTGACCAGTTGGCAGAAATACTTACAGAGCTGTTCAATCTATCTTTTTAACACATGCCATCATCCCACAAGGCCTGAAGGCTGCAACCATCATCCCCGTTCCCCACCACCAAAAAACAACTATAAACACCCCCAATGACTATAGGCCCATAGCGTTAACAAGCTCCATTAGGAAGGTTTTTGAGCAACTAGTTTCACAGCACATCAGAGACTGCCTCCCGCCCTCCTTCGATCAACATCAGTTTGCTTATGGAGCAACGCGATCTACAGAGGATGCTGTGGCCATCACACTTCATACAGTGCTGAGTCATCTGGAGAACAAACAGAGCTATGTGAGGATGCTCTTTGTGGGACTACAGCTCTGCGTTTAACACTATCATCCCAGATATGCTAGTAACTGAACTGTATAATCTGCAGGTCCCCACCTCCACATGTTCCTGGATTAAGAACTTTCTGACAAACAGACCACAGTCTGTTAGACTTGGCCCCCACCTTTCTTCCACTATTACATTCAGTACTGGTTCCCCCCAGGGTTGTGTCATGAGCCCCCTGCTATATGCCTTGTATATCTTTGATTGCTCACCAAGCCACGCAACAAACACCATCATAAAGTTTGCAGACGACACGGCTGTGATTGGTCTCATCTCCGGAGAGGATGAGACGGCATATAGGGCAGAAGTAGAGAACCTGTCTGTCTGGTGTTCACAGAACCAATCTGTCACTGAATGTCCATAAAACCAAAGAACTGATAATGGACTTCAGGAGACATGGACAGGACCAAGCCCCACTCATCATCAACGGAGAACGGGTGGAAACTATCCCTACGACCAGATTCCTTGGCATCCGTATTTCAGCTGATATCTCCTGGTCCCCTAACACCAAGGCCATAGTGAAGAAGACTCAGCCGCGGCTGCACTTCCTGTGGGTTTTCAGGAAGAACAATCTGGATACGAAGCTGTTGCTGGCTTTCTATAAAACCTCTGTGGAGAGCACTCTGACATATTGTCTGCGTGTGTGGTATGCAGGCTCCACAGCTGAGGACAGGAAAACTGTACACAGGGTGATAAACACAACTCAAAATATTATTAGTTGCCCTCTGCCCTCCCTGGAAGACTTAGCCAGGTCCTGCTGCCAAAGCAGAATCAAGGCCATTATAGACACCCTGGCAATTATCTTTTTGACCTGCTGTGGTCTGGACGGCGTTTTAGGTCAATAAAATCCCACACCACTAGACTAACAAATAGTTTCTTTCCCTGGGCCATCCGAACCGCAAATAAACACGAAGTCTCTACCTCATTAGGATGTGAAAAGATGTGAAATCTCAATACCCCATTCAGATGTATAATAACATATTACAGTACAATCCATCTCTTGTGCAATATACTCGGCTAAGCATTACAGTCAGTGATGGATGCATATTTTGTGTATATTCGTAGATATTGTACTCTCAAATTGCAAACGGAGATGTGGGTACTCTATTTTTCTTATCTTCATTTTTAAGTGCTTTGGTTTTATTGTATTGGGGTGCATCCACAGTTTCGTTGTACTTGTACAATGACAATAAAGTTCTTCTAATTCTAAAGCCACTTTTTTCAGTGCTGTTGCCACTTTGAATGGCCACTAAGTGAACTGTTGTTAAGTCGAGGACTACCTGCAGTTATATATTAATCTGATCATTAAAACCTGCTAGAGATGCCCGGTCACAAACACCTTTGCCACTGATTTTTCGATGCGGCAAGCTGAGGCTTTGTTGTGTGTTTTTTCTCTGCAACTGTCCCAGTTGTGCGATTCCTCCTGGTTATCTTACGGCTGGCGACAAGCTGTGTGACAGATGGTCAAAATATTTTTCTTCCGGAGGCTTTTAATTGAATTTTGGCTGATGATGCTATTTTTGCCGTCCTGCTTTTAAGAGGCTGCGGGCCGATCGAATCCTGCTCTGTACCCTTGAACTGCGGTCATTATATCTATATATTATTTTTTTAAATGTATTCCAGCATAACTCTGGAATGCCTTGAACAATTTCAATCAAACTTGGTACACAGATGGCTTACCCTCTGGAAACAGATATTGTGGGGATAAGACACCCCTAACACCCCTCGGGGTGTATGTTCTGTTAAGATGCAACCTGTTGGGCCTTAAAATGGCTTCTACCGTACTGCCGTAAAATGGCTTCTACTGCACAGCCCTGTGGTATTGCCATGGTAACGGCTTCACAGTACTCCACAAGAGGGCTCTCTCTAGTAAGGAGGAAAATCCAACGTAAGAAATGACATTTGTTCCGGGTTGCCGAATTCAGGGTTTTTCCTGTCTCATATAGGATTAGGATAAATACCTGGGCAACGCTAGGTTACAGGCGAGTTCATAATAAAAACTGCTTGAATATTATGGCGTATGGAAATAGACGAACATCCATCTGTTCTGAATTTTGGATCTGGGCTGACAGTCTCTGCTCTGAAGCATGGACCTCCTTAAATAACTTGTTCCTTCCCACCTGTTTTTTTTAAAAGGGTGTTTTTTTCCCCAACCCTCACTGCCTTTACTCCTCAATCTGGGGTTAAAAATTTATCAGTTTAAACATCAGGCACTTCAAAGAGAAGCTAAGGGCCAAAGTCTTCTTTGTTTTTTAGAAAGAAAATGCAGAGTCTAAAAATAAGTTTGCGTGTGTGTCTCCAATACAGGTGACTGCTAAAGTAGAGAGGAAGAGATATATTATGCAGTGGATATATTTATATTTCCAAGAATATAGAACAATCATGCAGACAGTCCTCGACTTACGACAGTTTTGTTTAGTGACCGTTCGAAGTTACAAACGGCATTGAAAAAAGTGACAACCATTTTTCACACAACTGTGTGATCCCCAATGGTCGTGTAACCAAAATTCGGCTGTGTTGTAGCCTGCCAGTGGCCAACAGAGCTGGCGGCAGATTCGGACAGTGAGGAGGTTGGGGAGGAACATAGGCCAGTCCTGGAGTCTGGGGAAGGCTCTGACGAGGGCTCTGCGTTGGAGACAGAGATGGGGCCAGGGCCATCTGGCAGATATCAGCTGCCTTTGGTGTCGGAGATCAGTGGGGCAGAAGAACAGCTGGAGCCTGTTTCCAGTGTGCGCATGCACAGAGCTGCCAGAGGAAGGGAACAGTTAAGGAACAAGGGTTGATTTGGGAGTAAAGGCACTGTTGTGGCTAGCTGGGAGCAGGTGCGGACGGCTGAGGAGAGCGAGGACTCAGATGAAGGGCCAGGACAATTAAGGAGTGGACTGTTGCCTTCAGAGATTGTGGGGGCTGGCAGCAGTGATGAGGATGTTCCTGAGGAGGAAGAAGGCGGAGCCTCCTCGCTGACGGACCATAGATCGCGACTCTCTGTGGCTATGGTCCGTGCTCTTTCGTTGGAGAGCCCCGATCATTACGATTAAGGGCTGAAGCTGCCTTGGAGGGGCGGCGAAATAAGGGGAAGCCTCAAGCCAGGTTGAGGGGAGCTGCATCTCCCGCCCTGGGCTTGGTCTTTTTCCCCCCGAAGACGACTGCAGCGGTGGTTTAAAATGGCCACGCCGAAGAGGAGGACTCAGCTGGATTAAGATTTGTGCAGGAGAGAAGAAAGAGGTGGATAACATTGGAACCGGGACAACTGGGCAATACAACGAAACAAAAGTATGTGTCTCCTCACATATTTATGTGAGCACATAAATTTACAGCACATACTTATGTGTCAAGGTGCTCTGTAACCTTAAATTCAAACTAAATCGTTATTGATGCTTCCTCTGAAGTCCCACCATAATAAACCCGTGCAGCTCTTCAGGGGTTTTATTCAGGGGTGGGCTTCAAAAATTTCAGCAACCGGTTCTCTGCCCGGTTGCTGGGTGGGCGTGGACATGGTGGGTGTGGCCTAGTCAGCCTCCTGCACCATGGGGGGCCATTTTCACCATTCCCGGGCTCCGGAGGCTTTCTTCGAGCCTCTGGGAGGGCAAAAACGGCCTCCCTGGAAGCCAGAAACGGGCCCATTTCCGGTCTTCCCGAACTTCTGGGAGGCCCGTTTTTCCATCTTCCTCAAGCCTGCACACGGGCCCTGTACTTACCTGGCATCCAAAATGGGCCACATGGGGACTCCTGGGAGCGGTGGGGGGTGGGCAGCCAGGGGTGGGGATTTACCGGTTCACCAAACTGGCTCTTAAAAATGATAAAATTAGCTACCAGTTCGTTTGAACCGGGGCGAACCGGTAGCAGCCCAGCTCTGGTTTTATTGCATGTAACATCCCACAGGTCTTACCAAACGGTCGTCTTTCAAAGGATCAGGGTTTGTATAAAAGTTGTGCCAAACTGCTTAAATTGGACCATCATCTGGATTTCCAGGAACCTGCAAAAGTGAGAGAAAACAGGCAGTATCCTGTCTGAAAACAGGCATTATTATTCTTAAAGCATGACCACTGCTAGCTGGAAGACTGGTAATTATATTTCATTTATTGAGCATCAGGTAAGGTAAGGCTAGCTGTTTCCTTCCGACCTTTGTTCCTAATGGGGAACCCTTCCAGACTTCTGGACTTTGACTCCAGAATTCCTTGGGCATTGCAGAGGATTCTGGAAGTTGAAGTCCACACATCCGGGTTGCCAGTTAAGCAAACAACACTTTAAACCAGATAGTGTTTTCTCAACTTTAGTAACCTTAAGCTATATGGACTTTTGACTCCCAGAATTCCTTGGGCATTGCAGAGGATTCTGGAAGCTGAAGGCCATCCATCTGGGTTTTCCAGTTAAGTAAACAACACTTTACACTAGATAGTCTTTCTCAACTTTAGTAACCTTAAGCTGTGTGGTTTTCAACTCCCAGAATTCCACATGGTTTAAAATTGCCAATTGGGATGGGATGGAATAGAATAGAATAGAATAGAATAGAATAGAATAGAATAGAATAGAATAGAAAATGGAATGGAATGGAATGGAACAGAGAATGGAATGGAACAGAGAATAGAATGGAATAGAGAATAGAATAGAGGAGAGGAGAGGAGAGGAGAGGAGAGGAGAGAAGAGAAGAGAAGAGAAGAGAAGAGAAGAGAAGAGAAGAGAAGAGAAGAGAAGAGAATATGGAATGGAATGGAATAGAAATAGAAATAGAAATAGAATTCTTTATTGGCCAAGTGTGATTGGACACACAAGAAATTTGTCTTGGTGCAAATACTCTCAGTGTACATAAAAGAAAAGATACATTCATCCAGAGTCAAGAATCATAAGGTACAACACCTACAATTTCCTCATATTAGGAAACAGTCAATATAAATAGTAAGGATACAAACAAGGTTACAGTCACACAGCCATGAGTGGGAGGGGATGGGAGGATTAATAGTAATAGTAATGCAGACTTTGTAAATAGTTGGACAGTGTTGTGGGAATTATTTGTTTAGCAGAGCAATGGCATTCGGGGGAAAACTGTCTTTGTGTCTAGTTGTTCTGCGTGCAGTGCTCTATAGTCGTTTTGAAGGAAGGAGTTGAAACAGTTTATGTCCAGGATGTGAGGAGTCTGTAGATATTTTCAGAAGCCTCTTTTTGACTCATGTAGCATACAGGTCCTTGATTGAGGGCAAGTTGGTAGCCATTGTTTTTTCTGCAGTCCTAATTATCCTCTGGAGCCTGTATCTGTCCTCTTGGGTTGCAGAACCAAACCAGACAGCTATTGAGGTGCAGATGATAGACTCAATAATTCCCCTGTAGCAGCGGTCACCACTGGTGGGCCATGAAAATTTTCTGGTGGGCCGCAGAGAAATCTCACCCCAGAGCACCCCCACAAAGCAATTAATCCAGGCTGTGCAGAAACACAAGGCTGCGCAGCCCACATGGCCCGCGGGAACCCTCCCCGCCCACTCACTCCTTACCTGGCAAACTTGCCTGCTAAATTGCTATTTTTCCTTTTTCCGACCATCATCTGTTCTGCTGTGCTGGGAGATTTAGATAAGCTAGGAAGCAGGAAATGGTTGGATTTCTTGCTTTCTAGCTAGTCTTCAGATCTTCGGCTCTGCTTTTAAGCACAGCCGAACCACCCTTAGGACTGAAGCTTCTATTATTCAGTTCAGATTCATGACAAGCAAATTTTAAGTGACAGACTCAGGTAGCCGATGGCAGATAGATAGATCCCTGAATGATTCTGTGAGCAACTCAATCTGCCTGTCTGCTTTGCCTGATTTGGGGTAAAAGTTGCTCTTTTTTATAAAAAATTCAATATGTATATAAATATTTATAATGTTTACCTACAAGCCATGCCTAGCCAGTCACATGACCACCAAGCCACACCCACAAATTAGACCACGCCCACAGAACCAGTTAGTGGTCCCTGGGATTTAAAATTATAAATTTGGTGGTCCCTGAGGTCCAAAAAGTTGCCGACCCCTGCTCTGTAGAACTGCCTCAGCAGCTCCTTATGCAGTTTGAGTTTAAATGCAGTTTGAGTTTAAATGCAGTTTTGAGTTTAAATGCAGTTTTGAGTTTAAATGCAGTTTGAGTTTAAATGCAGTTTGAGTTTAAATGCAGTTTGAGTTTAAATGGGGGGTAAATGCAGATTATTTCTCCAAATAATCTGCATTTACACACACACACACACACACACACACCCCAGAGAGGAAGCAAGCAGGGGGAAAAAAAGCATCCTGCAATGAAGGGCAATGGGAGTGGATGATGGGCACTGTTACCCCACGGATTTGGATGGCATGTTTTGTTTTTTAGCCTTGTCTCCTTTGCGCGTTTGTTTTTATTTTCCCTGCCTTGCATCCACCAAACTTGGGAGGGGTAGTAAAATAAACTCCCAGGAAAAAAGGAAGAAGAGGAGACCCCGGAAAGCCATCCTGCCAGGGCCCACCTGGTGCTGAGTCAGCCTCCCATTCATTTGGAAGTCCTCCCCCCGCCCCCCGGCTCCACCGGCTCCGCGGCAGCACCTACCTTGTCTCCCCCGCAGTCGGTCCATCCGCCGTCGCTCCGGCTCAAGGAGGGAAGAGAGAGACCGCCGTGGGAAAAGGTGAAGGAGCCCGCTTTGGAAAGAAGAGAGGGTGGGGGGAGAGGGAGGAGGAGGAGGAGGAGGAGGAGGAGGGAAGAGCCGGCCCGGCGCAAGGCTTCTTGGGAAATGGAGTTCTCCGGCACTTCTCCGGCCAGCCCAAATCTTGGGGGCACGTTGGGAGGAGGGGAGAGGGAAAGCGCGCGAGCGGTCAGCTGGTGCTAAAGGAGACGCGAGCCTGGAACTGGAATGGGGGGGGGGGGGGGGGGGGGAAAGGGGGGGGGGGGGGGGAGAGAAACAGAGAGGGAGGGAGAGACTGAGAGGGAGGGAGAGAGAGTGGAGGATGAGTAGATAGATATTGAGTGGAGAGAAAGACGGATGGGGTCACCTGGGGAAAGGATAGATTTTGAGGGAGGGAAAAAGACGGGTAGATCGATAATAGATAAAAGGTACACCGCCTTAAGTCACTTTTTGTGAGGTGGACTGCTACGTAAATTAGATAGGTAGGTAGGTAGATAATGAGAGCAGACAGATAAGAGAGAGAGGAAAAAGAGGAGTAATGGTAGAGATAAATAGAGAGAGAGAGAGAGAGAGGGAGAGAGAGAGAGAGAGATAATGAGAGTAGACAGATAAGAAAGAGGAAAGAGGAGTAATGATAGATAGATGGATAGATGGATAGATAGATAGATAGATAGATAGATAGATAGATAGATAGATAGATAGATAGATAGATAGATAGACAGACAGACAGACAGACAGGACAGACAGACAGACAGACAGGTAATGAGAGTCCACAGATAAGGGAGAGGAAAAAGAAGAGTAATGACAGTGATAGAGAGTTATAATGAAAGAAGATAGAAAAGGGAGAAATAGAAAGGAGAGAGTGGAGTAATGATAGTGATAGATAGACCTACCAAGAGTGAAAAGAGAGACGAATGATTTAGAGGTGTGTGTGTGTGTGTGAGAGAGAGAGAGACAGAGAGACAGACAGACAGAGATGCTGGGAAGTTAGTCAATGGCCAGATGTACACAGCTCAGACTCACTTTTTGCGAGATGGACGGCTTTACAGAATAGCATAGGATAGGATATAGGATATAGAATATAGAATAGAATAGAATAAGAATAGAATAGAATAGAATAGAATAGAATAGAATAGAATTCTTTTATTGGCCAAGTGTGATTGGACACACAAGAAATTTGTCTTGGTGCAAATGCTCTCAGTGTACATAAAAGACAAGAGACCTTCGTCCAGAGTCAAGAATCACCAGGTTTATATATAAAGCCCATAATTAAATAACCAAAGATCTTGAGAAAGAGACAGGGAGAGGGAGCGGCGTGACCTACAGAGAGAGAGAGAGAGAGACAGAGTGAGTAATCGAGAGAGAGAGAGAGAGAGAGAGAGAAAGAGAGACCAGCTCCCGGCTAGCGGATTCGTTCCAAAGGCGCGGGAGGTTTCTCCCTGCGGTCGGGCGCCGGCTACCGCAACCCCTGGCGCTCTCCAACTGCACCAGCCGGGTAGATCCACCGCTGCCGCCGCCGCCCGGGCTTTGCAAAGAAGAAGAAGAAGAAGAAGAAGAAGAAGAAGAAGAAGAAGAAGAA